CCTCACAAGTCCCTTTTACTAGGTACACTTGTTCAATAATTTATCACAAATAACTAATCAACCAATCACATGGCAGCAACTCAATGCATTTAGGTATATAGATGTGGTGAAGACAACTTGCTTAAGTTCAAACCGGGCAACGGAACATGAAGGAAAGGGAAACTGAGGGACTTTGAATGTGGCGTGGTTGTTGATGCCAGGTGAGGTGGGCTGGTCTGATTATGTCAGATACTTCTGATCTACTGGGATTTTTGCACCTAACCATCTCTGTCATTTACAAACAATGGGTCAAAGAAAAGAAAATGTCCAAAGAGCGGTATTTGAATGGACATGAACGTCTTAATGTCAGAAGAGAACGGGCAGACTTGTTGGAGATGACAAAAAGAACGGTAGCTCAAACGAAAACACTTGTTACAAACATAGGTTCTGCAGAATCTCTAAACACAAAGCACATCCAACTTTGAAGCAGCAACACAAGACCACACTGGGTATGACTTCTGTCAGCTAAGAACAGGAAACTGTTGTTTTTTGAGTCTCAATTCTCTGAACTCCCGTAGCCTCCACTGTCACCAGATCTTAATCCAATTGATCACCTTTAAGATGCGGTGGAACAAGTGACTCATATGGATGTTTCGCTGACCAATCTGCAGCAACAACACAATGCTATCCATCAATATGGACCCAATTCTCAAGGGGAATGTTTCCAACAACTTGTTGAGTGTATGAAATGAATAATTTAGGCAGTTTTAAAGGCAAAAGGGATTGAACCTAATACTAGCCAAGTGTACATAATAAAAAGGTTTTTGAATGTGTAGGTACAGTCCATTAATAAAGGTTTGTGCATGTTTCCATCAGATGTTGGCCAAAAATTTTAAGGCAAGTGTTTACAGGGTCAGTCACTCTTCTTTTGCTACCTTTAAGCGGACATTGTGCAGTTTCCATTCCAGTTGCATTTCTTCTTACTCGCACAAAAACACAAGCAGCCCATGCATACATACACACAACATATAAAGCTAAAACCAAACACTGGTGCTGTATGTAAACACAGAGCCTTGTTGACACTAAAATACAGCTTTGTACAACCTGAGTCAATCTGTTTGCTGCCTGGTAAAATATTAGCTTTGGATTGGCGGCTGTCATCATCTCAGTGAAAACACATTGTCAGATGTGTCTGTGTGTGTGAGGAAGGTTCACAGTAATCCTAAGCACATGAAGTAATGAGTGAACAAGTGGCTACACGTGCCCTCGCATGTGTCTGTGTTTATGGTTTGACCAGACGGTTGTCATTAAATGATCCAGGACAGACGGATTCATGACGGCGTCCCTACTCTGCTGTAGTTGACATTTCTGTTTCTCCACAGTGTGTTTTGTCAGCTTTCTGATCTTCAACAAAACAATAGCATTAAAAAAGTTGGCCTACTAGGAGGCCACGAGTCTAGACGTTGTTGCCGGCTATGTGTTCCTTGTGGAACGAGTAACTGTAGATGAGGGAAGCCCCAGAAATGAGAGGGAAGAGTTAGCCTGGAGGGGGGCCAGTGTATGTAGAGTGCAAAGTGAGGTGAGCCAACACCTCAGTGTAGCCCTGAGCGTCTGGCTGTCGGCAGAGCAAATATGCCTTTACAACAGTCAAATCCGCTACAGATACCGCTGTGCAAGTAACACTCCTGCTGCAGCTGCCTGCTGTTCAGGAATACTAGTTGGCACAAGATTTAGTTGTGCATTTTGTTTGGTTCTTCTTCTATATCTTAATCTATGTTTCCTTTCAAAAATTCCTTTTACATAATCAATAGGGGTCTAATCCCGATTTGTCACACACCTCTGTTTTGGAACATGGTTTGATATGAGTTTGATTAATAACTTATTTCAAACCAACAACTCTAGAAATGTTGAGTAGCTACTTTTTTTTAATGTGTAGACTCTAAGATAGTGGGCAATATACATAAAGGTAGAATTTGTCGACTGATGACTCCAGAAAAAAAAAATTAAAAAGCAAAATTAGTAATATTGTTTTCCTATTTATTCCATTTGGTTGGTAAACTTTGTCCTACAGGTCAAGAGTCACAAAGTTTGCTTTTGTTAGAGAAATGGTACAAAATTGCATGCATTTTTTATTACTGGTAATTATAAGTAGATTTGATACAAAATAAAAGTACAACAAAAATAAATGTCTAAATAGGAAAATACAAAAAAATGCCAAACTCTCACACTTAGCTTCTGAGTTTGCTGTTGATACATGGATGGTGTGCATTAAACGTCTTGTTGTGTATTTGACGGTGTTTATAGGCTGCCGGGAGTTTTTCCAAAGGATGCAATTTATGACTCTTTGCTTTCCATACTTCCACCTTTCACTACTGCTAACAGCTATTAGAGCCTGAATTTTTCCACAATGCAGATTTGAAACAAATAGAATTGAATGAACAATGGTATAAATTTAATTAAAATAGAAGGTTGCTACATATTTTTATATAATCTTATAAATGTCAACAAGCATCATTAGACAGATTTGTAAGTTAGGTGTCTGTGATCGGGATCAGGGTGAGGATTTGTTCCTCCAAATCCGAGGCCATGATCTTGAGCCGGAAAGGGGTAGAGTGCCCTCTCCAGGTCGGGGAGGTGGTCCTGCCCCAAGTGGAGGAGTTTAAGTATCTTGGGGTCTTGTTCACGAATGAGGGGGAAAATGAAGCATGAGATCGATAGGTGGATAGGTGCGGCGTCTGCAGTGAAGCGGGTGCTGTACCGGTCTGTCGTGGTGAAGAGAGAGCTGAGTCGAAAGGTGACGGTCTCAATTTACCAGTCAATCTACGTTCCTGCCCTCATCTATGGTCATGAGCTTTGGGTTGTGACCGAAAAAACGAGATCTCGGATACAAGTGGCCAAAATGACTTTTCTCTGCAGGGTGTCTGGGGTCTCAGAGATAGGGTGAGAAGCTCGGGCATCCGGGAGGGACTCAGAGTAGAGCCGCTGCTTCTCCACGTCGAGAGGAGCCAGTTGAGGTGGCTCGGGCATCTGTTAGGATGCCTTCGGCGATGCCTCCCTGATGAGGTGTTCTGCACTTGTCCCACCGGGAGGAGACCCAGAGGAAGACCCAGGACACGCTGGAGGGACTATGTTTCTCGGCTGGCCTGGGAACGCCTCGGGATTCCCCCGGAGGAGCTGGACCAAGTGGCTGGGGAGAGGGAAGTCTGGGCCTCCCTACTTAAACTGCTACCCCCGCGACCCGACCCCGGATGAGTGGAAGAAAATGGATGGATGGATGGATGTCTGTGATAATCTGCTTCCTCAAAAAGATTTGGTTATAAGAATTTCAAATTATTTAAGATCATTCTGCAGAGGCATCTAAAATTCTCTTGTATAGATTATTAAAGTAACAGAATTTGACAAGTTTTAGGTGCCCGACGAAGAGAAAAGATTAGAACACTAATGCCATTCTTTAAAAAAAAACAAAAAAACAAATAAAACTCTTAAAACTAGAAACTTACAAGAAAAATCCAAATATTTAAGGAGATGATGTTGGTTGTGTGACATTTTGCAGGAAGTTAAATGCTTTCTATTCTTTGTAACTGTATGAAAGAAAAATATTTTAATCACGTTCTTTCAGATATTAGATTTTCTGTTTAAGTTGAAGTCATTTCCTTGATATTTTCACTTGGTTTCACCATTTTGTACTTAAACATTATATAATTATCAATATGTCCAGGCACTTAAAAATCTTTGCAAAACTGTAAAAGAGCTGAGGTATTTGAAGCATAATTTTTGGGAAAAAAATTCATGGAATCTGGGAGCATCTCCGTGCGTAAAGTCCAGTAAACAAAGATAACATTTGCTGAGAAATTTGTTTTCAGGACAGTTGTTAAAATTGTACTATAACTTATTAGAATCAGATTACACCCTTATTTGAGTTTGTTGCTTGCATCAAGTTGCTCACATTGTTTATTTAGTAAAGGATTAAACCAATGAACAAACTACAAATGACAGTTTTTATTGTAATTATAATTCATGTCCAAAACGTACATTGCATCCTGTATGAGTTTTGTGTATGAAGATGTGCCTCAGCACAAGAGTTCATGTCTACTTTTGTGCTAAAGCCATAAATATTGTGTCCATTAAGGTTGCAACATATTGAACATTTCTAATCATCATTGCAATAGCAGTGAGTGCAATATCAATACTGCATGTACCGCAATAAATCATAGGACAAATATTTGATGTACCATGCTTTCATGTTCTGCATGCTATCCAGTGGACTCTCACTACCTTGACTTGGTTTAGATGATAGTGACAGAAGAGAAAGTGAGCAGCAGTGAGGAAAATGTGGGTTTGTTGTACTCAATATTGTCAGGGGCTGCACATTATTAGAAAACCTTGCAGTGCGTGATAATATTTAACATCACAATGACATCTGTTGAATCTCTTCCCTGAATTCAAGTATGATTTCAGTGCATTTAAAGGACTTACTGATGCTGATGTCAGCAAAAGGACGCGTTTGGGTTCGTTTAACCTCTACCTTTAAATCAATCTGTTCCCATCAGTGCCTTTTGGCAGAGCTTTAAAGGGAAGTAAACATAACAGAGAAAACTTCCTGGGTGGGGTCAGATTGTGTTCAGCCACTGTCATTTCTTCTTCGTAAAACACTTGTGTGTACCTGCGTGCGTGTGTTTATTGGTGCAATTATACGTGTGTTTATTTCCTCATAGCACTTGTGTTTCTCACATGACTGATTAGCAGAGCCGTATCAGGTGGGTGATATGAAGCGGGAACATGTTTTATCAGTATGTAGCAGCAGTATACGGACACAGATTAGAACCAACGGTAGCAGCGTTGCACCACCCAGAATCTACCAAGTGTTGCATAAACCTCAAATTGTACTATTAAAGTCTGTTTATGAATATGATTCTAGGAGGCACATCAGTTTAAAATGTATAATCTATAGCAGAACAATGTATTTGCAGTATTACATCTGTGTACAATTTTAACTTTTGGTGATTTTTGCTTAATTTCAGAGACGGGGGGCCATCTCGTACGACAGCTCCGACCAGACGGCACTGTACATTCGTATGCTAGGTAAGTGTTTCCCTGATCTTGCAGCTTATGTACAGTCAACACACAAACACACACTTTTCAGAAAGCAGAATGCTTCTTTCATTTGATTGTGCCCATTTTTAAGGGAAATTTCAGATGTTAAAAAAGTAGGGCTCTGGGAAATGGTTTGATACAAAAAAATACTTGTAGGTATTGATTTGGTCGCTCCAGTAGCTCATAAATCTGGTCAGAGTTAAACTGTTTCTCCAAACTGAGGTTGTTCAGAGTTATCTTCAACAGGTAAGATGTTTTACTTCTTTTTTTTTTTTTTAAATGTGTGGATTTAAATTTCAGTCCCTAAATAGAATGAAGACCGGTGTGCAAAGCGTTTCTTTGTGTTTCTACATGCGTCTTTGTGTACTTCCTGCATGTGTGTGTGGGTATCCATTTGCACTCAGTGACTTCAATCGGAGTAAGCAGTTTAGAAAATGGATGAGAGGGCATGGAGGGCTCGTAGATCTGCCAGTCAGATGGAGTCAAAAGTGTCTGGGAAGAGGCCAGAAGAGTAGTGGCTTTCCAAATCATAAGTTTATTGAGGATAGATGCAGTTAGAATTAGGCCTGTCACAATAAACGATAAATCAATTAATCGCATGATGAATGAAAGTTCTCAACCTCATTTTCATTTATTGGCTTTATCGTTTCTTCGTGTTTCTCTTTCTGCTGGACACTGGATGACAAAAGGCTCAACTCTGGTGTTCTTCACCCACCCCTTCCATTCTCTTGTCTTTTTAAAATCGGTTTTAACTGTACAAAATCACGTTTTTGTATCGTCAAGAGCAGCTAAGCTGAGAAGCTAAGCTAACAGGCCGACCTCGGGGGGGAAAAAACCTCTGTCTTGTCAAAGCTCCAAAATTCACGGTTAAAGCCCGTGCCTTCGTGTAAAAAGTTGATTTCTCTGCAAAAGGAAACTGAGAACTTGTTTACTGATTTTTTTTTTCTTAATTAAAAGCTTTGTGTGAAAAATGCTTTGCTACACAGCTCAAACCACACCGAGCGCCCACCATTTTGAGAACTTAATAAAGGAAGGAGCGACAACCCATGTCACGTCAAGGGGCCACCCTCCCATTTTCTTTGAGACACGCTGCTCGCTCCCTCACTATCCATCCTTCGGTTAAAAAAGTCTTATACTGCCATCCAGTGGTCAAAAAAGGGTATGACACACAAAAATTAACCAACATTTCTTCTTAAATTTGACATTACTAATTATTGTCAAATTTCAAACAATATTATTTTTTATCACAATCATTTAATCTCACATCAAAACTTATTGTGACAGGCCTAGTTAGAACCTGGCTTTACTCCTGAGGTCGATCCATTTATTTGGGGTGTTCATGAAGATGTTGCTACTTTATGCATTAGTCTTTTAGATAAAAGTTGTTTTGTTGAATGTTTTTATGTTTTGAATGTTTATTATAAGTTTTAGCTGATTGCTGTACCCCCCCCCCCCCCCCAAAAAAAAAAAAAAGCTTAATCACGACTCTGCTTAGTCACAGAAACAAGAGTTTTGTTTAGCAGACTGAAGGACCTTTAGCTTTTTAATCAATTTCCTTTGGCTAAATATGATGGCAGACTCATACGTCACTGGCATAAAGCATCTGCGTGTGTAGATTTTCAGATTAAATTGAGTGTGAGGAGGAGAGGCGCACTAATGCAGACCGGTGTTTGCCTGAGCTGGGCTTTAGTCTGCCAACTTAATGCTGATGTGCTGTCAAATAGCAGCACTCAGAGCTTTCGCCACATCAGTTATAATGACATGACCTACAAAGAACCAGCACTAATGCACCATAGGGGGGAAACATAGACCCTATGACCCTCTGAAACACACAAATCACACACGCACATCTCTGCAGATGTGACAGATAAACATACATGCGGGCATCCAGTCACTGCTCAGGAATGCATGCACTGTGTTGTTGTTTATTGCACTCCCCTCGTTTACCTTTTCAACAGACTGCGCATCGATATAACATGAATTGTAATTCTTAGTTTTTGGTATTTTGATAGGAGCTTGTGTAGTATTCAAACAGCTGTCTTCAAGTAAGTAACATGCTGGTTGTGGGAACACATTCGTGTGACTTTGCTCTCTTTCCTGGATGCATATAGACAGTTTGAAGTGCAATGCTGAAAACATAACATTCCACTGTTTAGCACCTTGATCGGTAGACCTCCATATACAGTCTTGCCTGGATCTACACACTAGCATTTTGCTGCATAAGTGTCATAGCATCATCCTGTCACCTCACTATACTTTCACTTCTCCTGACTTCAAGCGAGCCGACCGCCGTCCACGGGGTCCAAATCTGGAGCCCGCTCCTCTGCCTGACTACTAAAAACAGTCATAGATTGACTCTAGATTACTCTGAGTACTAATAGTAGAGCAGACTGTCCTGACATGGCATTGCATGCTCAGCTGTTCACTTCTCTGTCTGTTTCCTCTTCTGGGACATGGGAGTGTGTGTTTGTGTGTGACTGTTCCTGCGCATGAACAGCACACACAAAGCCTGGGTCAAATCAGACTTTTTAAAATCACAGCTTCTGCTTGTTGTAGTTTGCTGCAAGCACCAATATGATGGGTTTTAGCATATTAATGTATACAATTGTTTGTTAATTGACTCATTGTAAGGGTTTTCTGTCAAGACTCCAAAGTACAGTACATTAATTTCAGCTACAGTCTTTGATTTAACATTTTGACAAAAGACTTTACATTTCTTTGAATAAACAAACGAGATGCTCTGATCAACACTTCCAGGTGCACTTGCTGAATTTAAAGAACCAGCTGGCCTTATAACGGAAACCAGCAGAAAAACGAGCAGCAGACTGGCCTTTGTAAATAAATAAATCCAGTTTCCCTTTAGTAGTTTCTTACACCTCTGGTGCTGCTTCTGAACTTATTTTAAAACTCCTTACAGATATTTCAACTAGCTAACTTTTAGGCTTTTTTCCATTCAGTAAAAACATCAATATTAGCCACTTAGCATTGGTTGATTGATTGATTGATTGATTGACTGAAAACAATATTGGTTCAGGATCCTCAGACATGGATCAAACTGCTCCAACTGAAATTGACCTATTTTGGACAGTAGCCACTTGGTGCATCTATCTAAAACAATTAGAGATGCATGATATTATCATCATGGTATCGGCCGATATTAGCGTTAAAGTTAAATATCGGACATTGGCCATTCCATCAGAATAACTCACCGATATATTGATCTGTCTTCAGCTCGTTCTGTTTTATTAAAATGTCCATTATCAAATCAAACAATGTTCACTATGAGACATATATGGTCCAGTTTTCTGTCTATGGAACCAGAAGGTTCTGGTCACGGTTCTGTTTTAGTGTGGGTGATGTTCTCCTCCAGGGAATCAGCTGTTCGGGTCTTCTCTGCAGTCCGATCGTCTCCTTCCTGTCGGGCTCGCCGTTCGCCTTCATCAGAGGTGGCGTCTCTCAGGGTTCTTGCGCACGGTTGAGTTTAGATTTGTGAAAATGCACAAACTTGCACTGTTCGAGTGTTGTCATTGTGTTGGAGAGAGTAAATGTCATGAATAAATTTGACATAAAACATAATCCAAGTTGAAGTGTTACATCATTTTCAGCCCCCTTTTTTGCATCTGCATTTGGTAACAGGCCAAACTGACAAAGACCATGAAGAATAATGTAGTAGTTTAATTCCACAGCAGAGAAAGCTGTGGAAAGTCTCTGTAAGTAGGTCTAGGGAAAAAAAAAACCCACATCGGTATCGGTTATCGGCCAAAAATCCAATATCGTGCATCCCTAAAAATAATAACAACAAACAAACGAAAAATATAAATAATGTGTTAAATAATAAAGTTGATTGTAGAGTTCATATAAATTTGAGTAGTTTGGCATGTATTATAGTATTTTTTTTCTGGAAGAGTGCCTTAAAGAGACAGAAGTTAAAACAGAGCAAATACAAAACAAGAGGGGCTGTGGTAATAAAGAATATGAGCAACATCACAACTGTTGCAGTGTAGTTTCAGAATAAAACTATAAAAAAAATGGCTTAACACTCAGAAAAACATCAAATTTGATCTATATTTTTGTTCAGATTTTGGGTATTGCCAGAAAACCTGAACCAGTTTGAGTTTTATCCAATAAATTGGACTCCAGTCTGTTTTCAGGCAGCTGTGTGGATAATTAGAACTTCATCTGTTTTGGTCATATTGTCGTGTTCTGTTCACTGACCTGTCGTAAATCCCATCCTCATGGAACTTAAAGCAAAATACAAACAAGCCTAAATGATCAAATTTAATTAAGTGCTGCTTATTTGAGACAATTAAAGATACTTATTTTTACGTCGCCTGAATCTTGAGGAAATAAGTGTTAATTTCTTCTAGGAGATGTGAGAGTAAGAAGTCAGGTTGGATTTGAACCGGAACGAAGAAGCTCCCATCCCTACCTTTGCATCGACTTCCGAACTCTTCATGGTGAGTTTAGATCACTGTTTTAGAAGAAGGTGCAGAAGGTGTGCATTTGCTTTTCTCAAAATTAAACAAACTTAAAGACACGCGGACCTTTTTAAAAAAGGCTGTTCTTCTGAAGACATCCAGATGTTTGTGCACTGCATCTTTACGTTGTTTTACATGTTGACCTTTAACATTTGGTCAAAGACTTTTAAAAACAAGTGGGGCGACTTTATCACTTTCTACACTGAATAAAAATGTATAAAACTGTAAAATAGTTTCGATTTGCTTAACATCCAGAGCTAGGCTACAGTTGATACAAAGCGGCCTCAGCTGTGTGTGTGTGTTGGTGTGTGTGAAAGAAAGGTCACTGACAAAGCAGGTCTACTGTGTGATCCCAGATGAAAGGCTTATGAGTAGGCGGCTGTGTCAGCAGCGACTGTTTGGATATCGCTGTGTTGGTGTCAAGATTCCCACCAAGCTTGTCCCGGCCAAACGATTCTCCAAGCCTAATGAGCTTCTGAGGAAAAAAAAAATAGAGGGAGAACATCTTGTACATGTTCCATGTTTTGAAAATATGTATATATGTGTGTGTGTGTGTGTGTGTGTGTGTGCAGCACGACTGGGCTGTGGTTCTCCATCGTCCAGCTCTGGTACTGAAAGGAGGGTTCACAGACTGCTCAGCTTCCAGAGATACCTGCACTCGTCTCGCCTGCTGCGGGGAATCGCCCAGCAGATCCCCCTCCCCATCCTCGATGAAGACTATAGTGGACAGGCTAGAGTATGACACACATCCCGCATAGAATAACACCTAAATACAATATATAGAAGTGTGTGTTTGTATTTTTCATTTTATTTTACATCTATTATTTTGTCCCTTTCCCTTCCACCCCCTCTTGTAGTGCATGCTGGAGAAAGTTGGCAACTGGAATTTTGACATTTTCCTCTTTGATAAGTTGACAAATGGTAAGTAGAACATCTGAAGTAATCGTTTATGTCACAACACTGACAGCAGAATGCAGCTTCACGTGGGCTTTAGATCTAAAGTGTTGGTGCCATCTACTGGACAGACATGTAGTATATGGGAATCTAATATGCATATATTCTTTTATTTCTTTCTGTTTGAAGCATCCTAGTAAAGCTTTAACTTTCCACTCGGGCTGTAATTTTGATCACAGTTGCAGCTGTAGTCAAAGTAAGTTTCTGTTTGCGTACAGTTTGTGCTGGGGGTCGTGCTCCGAGACCTTGGATCAGCGGCGCTCCACACCCCAAGCCTGGTTCAGTCCAACCGAACCGAGATGTCCGTTAGCTCCCCTGCAAGTTTATAACTATCTCTGCAGCGAGACTCCTGCGTGCGCTCTCCTGCAGACTGATTAGACACTCTGTGTGACTCGTGCCTTGTTGCGATAAAATTCAAAGACCATTTTTGAAGACTTTTTTTAATTTTATTTTATTTGACCTGTTTCTGTGTTGAGGCAATTTAAAGTAGAAAAATCCACAAGTACAAAGTTTAACCCTCTCCTATCACAACTTGACTGAAACTGATATACCCCATCTATTAGAGCAAAACAAAATTAAGACTCAGTAAAGTTTAATTCAAGTGTGAATGCTCTGATATTTATTCAACTTGAAGCAATTTGAAGCAGGATGCAGAAAAAAGTTAAACTTTGTAAGAGCTTGAAGATTTTAGTAGCATTTTAACATTGCAGTGGTTGAAAGTCACTTTTTCTCTATTTGAACTACCAATTAAACACATCAGACACTCGATGAATACTTATCACACATAATCTCACATGTTCTACTGACAACAGTCTCCAGATGTTTTCCAGCCTCTAGATATTTTGCCAGGCTTCTGGCTTGAAATTTATATTTATGCTTCAGGGATAAATATAAAGAAAATAAAAATAAATAGTTGTGCAAAATACTGAATAAGAAGAGAGGCGTTCACCGTAGCAGTAAAAATAAAACTAAGAACTTCTCACAAATTGTGATATTTGTGTTCAGGGAACAGCCTGATCACCCTGACCTTCCACCTGCTCAACCAGTATGGCTTGGTGGAGCTCTTCCAGCTGGATATGGTCAAAGTCTGGAGGTTCCTGGTCTTGGTTCAGGAGGACTATCACAACGACAACCCATATCATAACTCTGTTCACGCTGCAGACGTCACACAAGCCATGTTCTGCTTTCTGCAGGAGCCCATGGTGAGACTTTTGGCTTCTTTTATGTTTTACGTTTCTCTCTGAAGCGATTTCTTGGATCGTTGGTAAATTTCCCGCTACTTTAAAGAAATACTATTTGAATATTAATGAGTTCTCATAATCGTTAGTGTAATTTTTCCCTTATGAATGCAGCTTGCAAAGTCTCTAACATCCTATGACATCCTGCTGGGACTTCTCGCAGCAGCCACTCACGACCTGGACCACCCCGGGGTCAACCAGCCTTTTCTCATCAAGACTGACCACTATCTAGCAACACTCTACAGAGTAAGACACATGCAGCCTGACGAACTTACAACAGGAAAGACGCGTCGTGTTTATTTTTATAAAGAGTCCCTATTTTAACTCTCAGAATACCTCAGTTCTGGAAAACCACCACTGGAAGTCTGCAGTGGGTCTCCTCAGAGAGACCGGGCTGTTTTCTCATTTACCCATGGAGGACAGGTCAGTTGGGTTCTGGAGCAACTTCTAACAAATGAATCAGTTTCTGCTTGAAAATCATTCACTTTGTTAAACTGGTCTTTCTGAAACGCCAGTCTCAACATGGAGAGAGATTTGGGCTCCTTAATCCTGGCCACGGACATCAGCAGACAGAATGACTACCTGTCCAGGTTTCGCACACACCTTGACCAGGACAACCTGTGCTTGAGCAACGCCAGTCACCGTCACTTCATCCTGCAGGCCAGTTACACGCCGTCCTTTTTCTTCTAAGATCACTGGGCTTGAGGTTGTTGGTTAAAAACGATTGGTTCTGGTTTCCCGTCCCCACAGATGGCCCTGAAGTGTGCAGACATCTGTAACCCCTGCAGACCCTGGGAGATGAGCAAACAGTGGAGTGAGAAAGTGACAGAGGAGTTCTTCCAACAGGGTATCTGTCTGCTCCACTGTCCTTCTGTAACGGCGATATGGTTTAAAAGTTAATTAATTCAGTACGTTTTGCTTAATTGATGCAGGAGACATCGAAAAGAAGCACAAGCTTGAAGTCAGCCCAGTTTGTGACCGAGAAGCAAACACCGTTGGCAACATTCAAATAGGCAAGTTTGACAGCTGTGATCGATATTTGCTACCATTTATAACTTGTAATTAATATTAAAGCTAATCCGCGTCTGTCCCCTCCAGGTTTTATGACCTACGTGGCAGAGCCGCTGTTTGCAGAGTGGGCGCGTTTCTCCGACACACGTCTGTCCCAAACTATGCTCGGCCACATGGGGCTGAACAAAGCCAGCTGGGGCGGCCTGCAGCAGGAACAAAGCCCCGGCTCAGAGGAGGCGGAGCCTAGCGCAGCCGCCACAGACAGCGCCGCAGCAGCAGCGACAGAAAGCAGCTCCAAAGAAATACCTCAGGGAAGCAGAGAATCCTGACACTCCTCGTTTGCCCTTTGGCCTCCTGAACTCTGACCCCTCACCACGATCTGACGATCCACCCTGCAGCTGACCCACCGAACACCTTTTTTTTTTTTTTGTCTTGTTGCTTTGGCCTCCCATCCTGATAAACCACTGATTTTATTTAATTTATTTAATTCCTTTTTGGCATAGAGCAATACATAGATACCTCATTTGGCTACTGCTGTATTTTCTTTTATTCACTTTATTTATTTGACTGCATTTTTTTTGGCATTACTGACTTATATGCCACTTATTTTTTTGTTGTTGTTGTTGAACCTTAAGGGGAAAGCAGTATAAACTGAAAACAAAAAAGACTTTTGGTATTTTGAAGTGCCATTTGAAAACAAAGATTTGAAGAATGATCTGAACTGAGACAAAGTGGAGTAGATGTGGGGCCCTCCTGAGACCTTTGAGTATGACGTTGGATTTGTTTTAAAGATTCTTCCTTATGTAAAAACAGAAAAAAAAAATGTGACAAGCCCAGTCCTTCTGCTGCCTCTACAAAGACTGTTTACGCATCACCTTGTCATTTTTCCTTGAACTGAAGTGAAACATGTCGGCTCCACGGTTTGCCTTCAAAGCAGATTATTCAAACAGACCAGATGCCATAAATGACTCCACCTGTGCTACCATGTGTTCCTGCACTCCTGAACGATGGCGACCATGTTGGATGTGCAGCTTTGTTTCCTACATCCTGTAAAAGGTATTATCGTATAAATGAGTCCCCCCCCCCCCCAAAATATATTTTTCTGGATCATCCAGTCCTGGTCAAATTTAGGGAGTCTCCGTTAGATTGGAGAATGGTCAGTCTCACCTGGAACGTCACTCCATGCAACTCGACTCGCTCAGGGTTTTGCAAGTTTTATTATTTTGAAGAGGGAGAGGAGGTGACTGCAGACGGTGCGAAGTTGCTCGGACAAACGGAACAAGGCTCCCTCTAAGCAGAATGTCTCTCACAGCCACATGAAACCTAATGGACTGCTCGACTGATGCCTTACATCTATGCACAAACTATGCTAAGTGACCAAACGGACTCCTGTTCCCATCAAGTGCATGGTGTGCTCGTCTTTGAATGCACTGTCCAAACCCTTTGCCTTCTCGTTGAGGTGGTTTTTTTTTTTTTGTATGGAAACAAAACGGTCGAGTGACTTTTGAACATTCCATTTCTTTGTTGGGTTTGTCTGGTTTTGATCCTGTACAGTGGCACACGTCGTGTTTGCGTTGGAACATTTTGAACGAGAACAGGTGCTTTTCTTACTTTAGCTGATAACGTATTTTTGCTGTAAGTGCTGTAAGACTGTTGAAACTGTTTACAATTTGTTGCGACAGCCATTTTTGGGGGGAAGACTTGGGTGTCGAGCCAGATTTTGTAAAGGCTTTGCTGTATTGACCTTTTTGATACATGCCTGTTGCAGTTACGATTTGAATAATAAAACCTGTTGTTGAGTTTCACAAGTGTGGAGTTAAATACTTGAGCCAACATCTCTCTAGTTCACCTTGTTTCATCACTGTTTAACCTGGAGACACATTTTTAGTTAAGACTGAGCATTTACTGAAGGAATGCACATCACCTGCAGCCTTTCAGGCCAGTTTTAGATCATCTATGGCAGTGGGCCCAACCCAAGTCCTTGAGGAACACCTTCTTGCATGCTCCCAACACACCCGATTCAGTGAATTACTTTGTGTTCTGCAGAAGCCCGTTAATCACTGTGTCAAAGCAGGAAAACAACTAAAACATGCAGGATGGTGTTCCTCAGGGATGGGAACCATTCATCTATGGTATGGACTTGTAGCCATTTTGGTCAAACTCAAGTGATTTGTTAGCTCGTGGATTATGTGCTAAATGTGGATCACTTGTCGGCTACTACCACACCGAACCAATGTAGCCATTTTTGTTTTTAGCTCAGCTGGCTGTGGCCATCTTAAAAACAGAATTGTCAATCACTTTCTAAAAGTTTAATTAAAATTCATATTCTGCTCATTTTACATACGTTTGGTGATGATTAATAGTTTCATCCATACAATAATGTCACGACAGAGTAAGATTGCCCGTTTAAATCCAAAATTTTGTCCCATTACTTGGAGAAATTTTTAATGGCAAATTTAAAGATATTAGCAAATAAGCTTGAAATAACAGGATGAAAACCACAAACGAGTCAGGCAATTTGAACTTTTATTAAAAGCTTTGAAGATTCACAACAACTTTAAAATTTTTAACCGTAAATTAAAAGGCTGCGCTGACGCATCCGATCTTCCCTTTACAAAGTGTCGACTTAAAGAACAACGTTCAAACTTTTCATTTCTGGCTTAAATTTAGGCGTGTAAGCTTAATTAAGACTATTTTTCATTTAAATATGTTGTCCGAACAGCGAACACAAGGCAACTCCTGAACATCAGTAGGAATTCATAAACAACTCATTAAGATCTATAAACTTTTGAGGTTTTTCTTAATTTAAATGAGATTTAAAAAAAGACAGGGCAGTCTTGGAAAAAGTCAAATGTAGCAGTACCAAGTGGAATGTCTTTGGATCTTAGTTACATAAAATTAAAACAGAAAATACTTCAATCGAGGGGCAAACTGTAACAAACCTTGAACAAAATGTGCCGCTCGCAGGACAGAGAACCTATAAATTAATAAAACACGTCTAAAACACAACTCACTATTAAAAACAGTAATTACAGCAACTCCCAATCTTAAATTAGTCCTAAGTTTGTGCATGTGTTTAAACCATACCGTGTGAAAATCACCATGTCACAAAATGCTGCTTTCTTCCACAACATATGCTTTTTGGCTTTTTACCACCCCCTTAAAAAAGGGAGCAAAACTGATCACTTCTTCAATGTGCAATAAAAAAATACCTAGTGTTGACGTTTACAACAGAAAATTATGTTCGTAAAGCTAAAGGTTGTTACAAAAGTGCAAAATGCAGTCAGGATGATCACATCAGATGACTGGTATTTGGGCCAGCCAGAAGATTTCAGGATAGATACCGAAACGAGGCCCTTTGAGAGAGTCCACAGAACATCTGGATCACCAGCTCGAGCTCGACTGATCAGAGAAACTTTCTCTTTCCAGTTTGTTTCAACATGTGCTGCCCAAACTGAAAAACAAGAGACAACAATTAAAACTAGAGAAACTGCATTACCTGCAAAAATACAGTGTGAATGCTTATTGCAGAAGAATTTGCTGAAAACATCTGAAATTAGCTAAAAAAAAAATATATATATATAAAAAATAAAAAAAAAGATGCTGAAATGGAAAAACCGAGCCTAAATTAGTAAAGCAGAAAGAACACATTTGCTGAATTAGGTTTAAATAACCAGAAATGACCATAAAAATTAAGAAATTTTGCAAAAAGTAGCTGAAAAGACAAAGAAGCTTAAACTACCAGAAGGAAGCAAAAAGAGCTGAAAAGAGGCCAAAAAATGTGGAATTAGCTGAAAAAGATTAAATTAGCATTAAAAACAGCTAAATAGTAGCTGAAATAGCAAAGCTGAAAGTAGCAGAAATACCTTGAAAGGAGCTTAACAAGCTTAAATTAGCAGAGAAGTTAATTAGAATAAAAGCAGCAGAAATTACCACGAAAAACTTGAATTTATCTGAAAACAGCTGAAACTAGCTATAAAATGCTAATAAGGTAGAACAAGCTTAAATTAGCATAAGAAAGTAGAAAGAACACATTTGCCCAATTAAGCTGAAAGAAGCCGAAATGAGCAGAAAACAGTGGAAGCTATTTGATAAAAGCAGAAATTTGAAGACCCCCCCCACCTGAATAGTAGCTAAAAAAATCAGAAAGAAGCTTAAATCACCAGGAAGTGGAAAGAGCACATTTTTGTTGAATTAGATGAAAAAAAATGTTGAATTAGCCGACAAAAGCTAAAAGTAGAATGAAAACATAGCTGAAATAGCAGAAAAGGCTGAAACTTGCAGAAAAGAAGGAGCATAATAAGCTGGAATTAGCTAAACAAGTTAGTAGAATAACAAAATTGTAGTAGTTAGCAGAAAGAATCAAACAGGAGAACAAAAAAAGCTGAAAAAACCCCCCAGCTGAAAGTAGCTGAAATGCTTCATTCACACAGCTACCAGAACATTTAAAACAATTCTCCACATTAAGACAGCTCCCCAGCCGTAAATCAGACGAGGAGAAAAGCACGTTTCTCACCAGAGGGGGTTCAGGTTGAGGTTTAACCTCTGGGACAGGAAGTCTGAAATCTTCCTGGTCTTCCTGTCCACTGCCTTGCTGATAGCGATGAGCGAACTTGCGCTTCAGGGCTTCAGCGATGAGAGCCGCAGCGTCTACCGGCTCCTGTGACTTCGCCTTGACCTCGTATTCCCCCGGACGACTGGGAAAACGGAACAAGGCGATAAAAGCATTTAACACTACAAGAGTTGATTTTTTTTTTGGTCTCTCAGCATCATAGTTACAGAAACTGATCACTAAAGTTGAAACAGACCTTTTTACAGAGCGCAGCTTCACTTTGTTGATGTCCTTTAAGATTTCAAGCATGCTGGGGATTTCTGTCGTCCTTGAGTCCAGAGCTGCCGGATCAGTCGTCTTCCTTCCTTTGCGCTCTTTTATCAAATCAATGGCTGAAAATGTCCTCTGTAATCCTGGTGGTGGTAGAGGAGGAGGAGGAGGAGGGGGTGGGGGAGGAGGAGGAAGAGTACCAGAAGGTGGAGGAGGAGCCCCTGTAGCAGCAGCTGGAGAAAAAGGGAAAGAAACGTGAAAGCTGTGTAACATCTACGGTTCTGCTGCCATCTAGTGGTGAAGTCACAGAGTTACACATGAAACCAAACTAACTGCACCTGACTGTGCAGTTTTTTCCTGAGCCAGGACAATCTGAGCTATCTGGGCTCGAAGTTTGAGCAGTTCCGTCTCCAGAGCGCTGATTTTCTGGATTGCCTCATCGTTCGCCGTTGATGCCCCCTGCGGGTCTGAAGCTCCCTGATGCAGGCTGGGTAGTGAGCTCTGACGAGTGAGGGGTTGTCTCCCAGGATGGAGCCTTTGGGCACGAAACACGAGCCCCGGTGGGATCCCTGACCTGAAAGAAGCAAGAAATACAACAATGTTAAAAAAAAAAAAAAAACACTTTCCACAGTTCCTAAACTTTCAGATCTAGAAAACTTTTCTTCTGGACCATTTTGATCTCACCGGGGTCTGCCAAGGTAATCATCATCATCATCATCCTCTTCATCTCTGTCAATCCAAGCAATATCAGCAAGTGAGGCCACCAGGCCCACTTGCTTCCTGGTGCCGATAAGGACACCAGAGTCCTCGTTGTACGGGAAAAGCTGCCAGAGACGAAAAGCTTGCATTTAAGACTTGGAAAAGATAAAACTATGCACGCAAACATGCATCACATCTTTACGTTTTATCAACTTCAAGCACGTTTTTAATAAAAATGCCAAGTCAGTCAAATGTAAATAAAACCTACGCACTTGGAAATGATTTAAACCAGTAATTTTAATGAAAAAGACAACATTCTGGATGCTCCGATCAAAAGCACAACTGAAAAACAGCTGCTTGCATGAAATGTAAGGACGTCAACACCTGCTCAAGGCTGAGAAATTACAAATGCTACAATGAGAGGGATCGTCTCACATCGGAGATTATTTGGCAGCTTGATCAGTAACAGGACCGTGCTTAAAATTATCATGCTACAAAATCATTGCAGCTTAAAAGGAATCTTTCTAAAATGACTGTCACTGAGCACAGTTTGTCAAAGAAATGTTACAATTCAATCACACCACGAATGATAAATAATAAAACAGTAAGAAAATAGATTTTCATTTTCATAACGTGCTGATTCAGTTTAATTGTGGTTAACTAAATATAAAGTTGCTTTGTGTCATCGATAATCTTCCTTCGGTAATAAATCCGTTACTTGATATTTGATCTACTCAGTTCCCAAACACTTGAAGGGTGCTGTTGAAACAGAGCGGTAAGAAAAATAAAAATCATAATGTCACGAAACATGTCAAGTATCACGTTTTCAACAAGACTTTGTATTTTTTTCCAGAGTTTTAACACTTAATATGTTGTCTTTTATTATGTTTAATTAAATACAGAGTTTAAATAACTTCCAAATAATGCATTATTATTATTATTATTATAGAGAAAGGGTTATAACAAGAGTAATTAATAAAAGAAAACAGGACAGCTTGTATAGAAGTGTAGAGGATCTGTAGATTGTTAATGAAAGGTTGAAGAAGCTCAGGGGGTCTTCATCAGATTAAGGTCGCTGGAAGTTGCTGAGCAAACTGACCTAAAGCAGAAAAACTGCATTCCTCATAGGAAGGGAGGGCAGCTGGAAACAGGAGGAAACAGAAGAGGACAGTGTTGAAGGCGGACAATTTGGAAAAGGCATTATTTTTGGGGTTTATTCGAGCACCTGAGTGAAATCTTTCAATATAAAGTCCAGTGAACATTCTGTGTTTTGTCATAATGCTGGTATGACTTCATTCACTCTGTTTATAGTTCAGATATGAAAACAGACAAGTAGAGGTCAAGCAATACTGAAGGGTGTGCCATCTACTTTAACATTATTAGATATAAACAAACGCGCTGCAGGAAGCAGGCACAGATGATGGCATACATTTAGAAGAGTTTAGATCACAACATGGAAAAAAGACATTCTTCTAAAAATGCAAAAATCTGTTTGAACACAAAATATGTTATTCATCCCTCACCTGAAAATGAACCCTGGAACATGGTTTAATGGGAAGACTAGCTGCTATTCTCCTGACAATACTTCTAGAGGAACCATAGGGTTTTGCTGAACCAAAAGCCTGCAAAATGGAAAAAATAAATAAATAAAATTACAAATACATAAAAAAATTAAACATTTACTAAATTTTAGTCACACAGAGACATCATTGTAGACTGCTACCCACCAGGTCCATCTGAATCCGTGGCTGATCTTCACTCATTTCTGTCTATGAGTTTCACACAGACTGATGAGGGTGTACAACCACGTCAACATGATCACCAAATGATACCTAAAGCAATGAAAAAAGGATAAAAATCAAGAGTGAATTAATACAAAATCATTTAAAAAACTTAATATTTGCTCTAATCTCTTGGTCTTAGGTTGTGTTGGCAAACAAGCAGGAATTCAACAAGTATGATGATTATTAGATATACTACAGGGCTATTCAACTAAATTGCTCTGGGCCACAGTTACTGAAAGCCAAGAGCTCAGGGGCCGGACATCTAGCAGTTATTGCCATCAAGTTTGTTTTACAGTTTAAAATCTAGTTTTATTTAAAAATGAACACATTGGTGGTCCGAACTGAGCTCATCCATGGGCCTGATTTGGCCCGCGGGCCACCAGATGAATAACCCACAATATAATTTCTTAATTCACCATAAAGTGAGGCACAACTTTACCAAAACAAGCAGTAAATCAAACATTCAGATCATGCCTGTGTTGTCTTGCTGCTGATGGCTTTGCTGCTTTGAAACAGAAAGTTTTCCCTTAAAATCAACAACGATTTGTATTCCAGTAAAACTTTATATGCTGATCTTACACCATAACAGACAACTTTCTGACTGCATTAACTTACAGCAGAGTTTGTTAAGAGTTGACCACTTTAAAATCGTCCAAATACAGTGATTCTGGTACTTGGAACAAGCTTCGTTCAACTTAAAACAGAACTCGACTTTCACAACTTTAGCAGGTCAGCGGGCAACGAGGCTAACCGATGCTAACTGATAGCGGCAAGTTTTTTTTTTTTTTTTTAACTTTCGACACGCTTTATAATTATCAGCCGCAGCTAACAGTGTTAACGTTATGCTTAAAGTCAAATTTCGGCTGTAGTTTGAGACATACTTACTGAACGAACGCTGGCTGATCCCTTTCTTAACTTTAACTACTGTCTCAAGCCGACAACACACAACGTAGAGCGTAGCGTGAGGAGCGCTTTGGAATGTTTTTGAGCCAATTGGACGATACGAATTATAGGCGGGGCGTTACTTCATAAATCAAAACCATTGGACATGTATTTTGATTGACATTGCAATTCACCAATTAGCGCTGACATTTCTAACAGAGCTTTTTGCCTATTCGTCAATGCAACAATCAATCAAATTACAATGCCCAATCAAATCTTAGAAAAATGTGGAGGCTCGTTATATATCTCTGCGTACACCGGTGAAGAACTGTCACATTGAATAACCGCGATCCGGTGGAACTACGGGAATGTCCTTGATACAAAGCAGCTGCACCCATTGGTGTTTGCCACAAAACCCAAAACAGTGTGCACAGATGCTAGCTAAAGAAGCGCTGGGAATAATAGGGTTACGGGCCTAGTGTTGGAAAAAATTGTTTAATTACGCCGGTTTAAGGTTGTATTTGAACATAACAGTTTGTTCCTGCGCCCTTTTATACCCGCTGCGACTGAAGTGATCTGGATTTGTCTAGGAGTTTTCACGAAATCTGACTCAAAGGTATTTTTTGAAGTAAAGCTAGCACTTTTTTTTTAGCTTAGCTAGCTAGCTACGGAATCGGCTGTGTACTTCAGGGCGTGATTTGAGGTTAGGTTGAGGGTCGTAGAAAGGGTCTTTTGGCTCAAATGAGTATTTACATTTTTCATCGATTAGAAAAGCTGTAGCATAGATATGTCAACTGTATATTTTTTATAATGTGCTTGCTATACAAGCTTTATGTGGTCATTCGACAGCTGTATAGTATGTGCCTATAATCTTTAGCTAGTCGGATGGTGTAGTACCACGTTTACTGAGTGATGACGAGACTAACAATGATGTTGTAAGGCAACGAATGTAATGAAATGAACAAATAAATAAGTGTTATTTGGTAATGACGCCAAATAATTTGTAGTAACATTCAGTTTCTATGCTCAGTATGCTCCAATCGCTTAAAAATGTTATAAACACATTTTAGTCATTTTATGAAGAAGGCTGAATCGTTTCAGTTAATGTGTTTGTGATTTATGATGATAAAAGATTAAACATTTTCTACAGTAGATTATTATACTGTTGCATTTTCTATATTTGGGCTTTTTTTATTATTATGCAGGACCAGTACAGGTGCTGTGACTTCCCCTTTTACATTCCTGTTCATAATTTCTAAAAATAAACAAGTAAATAAAGCAAAATAGCTACTGATTTAAAATGACAAAGTGAAATCATCATCTTGCATATGTTTATGTGAATTGTTTACGGATATGTTACCAATCCACACAACAACAAGATGTAAAAGCTAAAAACAACAACAATAAAAACATCACCAAGTGCTTTAAAAGTATTTAAATTTGACTTTAAGGAGAGTGTAAGAACTCTGACTGTGGTCAAATAATTTAAACACAGCAGGATACAGTTTTTGATAATAACATAATAATTGTCTGTAGCAGTACATTTCATAAAGCAAGCTCCCTAATTTGATCCCATTTCTGATCTTTCAGCAAAGAGAATACGCTGGTTTGATGACACTGGAGGCACCATGAGTGCGGAGCTGGATGCACTCACTGTGGTGAACCAGCTGCGAGACCTCGCTGCAGACCCCTTGAACCGAAGAGCCATAGTCGAAGACCAGGGTTGTCTGCCGGGTCTCATCCTTTTTTTCGACCATCCCAACCCACAGGTCGTCTACTCTGCACTATTGGTAAACGTTCATTTATTTTCAGTACTGTATTTTTCGGCCTATAAGTTGCAGTTTTTTTGCATAATTTGCATGCCCTGCGACTTATAGGCCAAAGCGACATGTACCCCGCCCCTCGCACAGTGATTGCTGGACATGGGCACCAGCGACCCCCGTGACCCAAAATGGAATAAGCGGGTAAAGAAAATGGATGGATGGATGGATGGATTTATAAACCAATTTTTGGCTGAGATATGACCGTTTTCATTTATTCTGACAGGAATGTTTTTGTTTTTTAAGCAATATCACTTTCAGCCACTAGATGGCAGCAGAGTAGTAGTGGTAGCTGTATGGCATGCCGTTGTATCATGTAATAGGTAAACGTGGCTATAATGACAAATTCAAAAAAGTTCAAGACAAAAACAACTGGACTTTATTTACTATACTTTATACTTTGTTGTTTTTTTCTTGAACTTTTTTGAATTTACCATGTCCTGGATGACTGAGAATCTTCACCAGCTATTAATGACACAATCGGCCTGCCCTAGTCCCCCCCCACCTTCGTTCTGCTCACTGCTTGTAACCGTCAAAACCGCTGCACCACCCCAGCGAAATGCAGCTAATTTGACCATTAAAGTGCATTTATTAAGCAAAAGTTCAACTGAGACACACCTTTGCTATAATTTCGATTAAACAAATAATTGTTTTAGGTGCTTTTCTTGTTCAATTTCGAAGAAATGGACAGCGTTCCTCCTTATTTTTTTCCCTCCCTCTGCGCGCTCCCGAAGCGCCGAGGCAGCGAATACGTTTGAAATACAGACTGTTAAAGTCCCTTTATTAAGCAAACGTTAAACTGAGACACATCTTTACTATAATTTTCGAGCAAACAAATAATTGTTTTGGGTGCTTTTCTTGTTCAGTTTCGAAGAAACGAGCAGCGTTCGTCCTTCCTTTTCTACCCCCCTCTGCACGCTCCTGGAGCACATAGGCAGCGAATACAGCTGATTTGACCGTTAAAGTCTTTTTATTAAGCAAACGTTAGACTGAAGCACACAATTACTATAATTTCAAACAAACAAATAATTGTTTTTTAAGTGTTGATCTTGTTAAAGTCCTCCCGTGCACGCTGCCGCGGCTTCCATTTGGCAGCCCATGGATTTTTGGCACAACACCGGCCCACATTTTCGGGTTGTCAGCGGTGACGCATAATAGATGTGACATATACAAGAAGCGACATATTTATGGATTTGTTTAGACATATTTGGAGTGATGCGACTTATAGGGTGGAGTGACGTGTACGGCGGAAAATACGGTATATTGCACCAAGTTTACACAGTGCATACAGGAAACTGTATAGTTTCTGCATGATTATGCAAAGCTTGTTAGACCGACCTTTACTCAGCAGTTTTTATGACTTTGCTGTTTTTTTTCATAAATATGTGCTATATAAAAGCAAATCATTTACTATATTTTAAATACTGTGTGCAACTGGCGAGCTGCTGGCTACCCAACCCTGGCCCCAAAAACTACACAAATGTATTATTTTACCCTGAATTAGAACAAAGTTTCACAATCACGTTGTGTTCAAAAACACTTAAAACAAGAACTTTAAAGTCATTATCGAAACAGGACACAGTTTTTATTTTTTTTCCTGGTTAAAGAATCATCGTTCTGTGGTATCTGTCTTTTGTGTACAATCTAATGTACATTTAAAATAAAGGTTTGTACTTGGGTATAAAAAAAATGGCCAAAAAGAAAAAAAAGTAACGGAAATTAGAGTCTGGAAAAGTCTGGAGTTTTAAAACGGGAAAAGTGTAGGAACCCTGGTTGAAATGTTTCACTTGCAATGAATTTTTCTGCACTGATGACGTCTGCTGTTGGTTGTGATGCAAATACAATATGGGGTTTTGGTATTTCCTCCACAACTATCCTTTTAGTCCGTGCACAACTTGTTACCATGAGTCTGCACATCTAAAGGGCTTTATGTAAGAAGCACAAAGTGTATTCTGCAGTTATTATGTCATTTGTTTGCTGGTGCACATGAGCGAGCATTCTTAAAAGGACTTTCTGCGTCAAAGTTGCACATCTTTTGTGAGTTTTCAGTGTGAGGCAGATAACTGTTGCCCTTTCCCTCGCAGGCCGTGCGCTACCTGGCAGAATGTCGAGCCAACAGGGAGAAGCTGAAGGGCGAGCTGGGCATGATGCTGAGTTTGCAGAATGTCATGCAGAAGTAAGTCTCTGCTGAAACATGTGCTTATATTGCATTTTCTTTTTTATCAAACCATAACCTGGCGTTTTGTTGATTTCTCTTTTTGTTTTTTGTTTTTTGTATCTGACTGTAACGTTTCCTGACAGGTTGATGTCCTTTTTTATTTGTTTGTCAGGTTGAATGAGATTAAAGCTGAACAAATAAAGGGTGGCAGTAACTTGAAATGATGTTTGTGCATGCTATAGACATTAATGTTTTTATTTTAACTAATGCTGACATATATTAACACACATTTAATTAATTTTACAAGCATTGCACACAATCTATTTTGTTTTATTGTATATTTTTTTTATTAAATGTGATCACCAGTTTTACATTATGCTGAGGTCTTTTCTAGATTCTCTACTTCAGCGTTAGTACTGGCTTTAAATTAAGAGAAGGCCTGAAGAAGAGTAGCGAAGGTCAGACAAATTAACTTTATTTATTATTTGGTTTGCTACAAGACTAACGACCTTCCACAGAGGGATGAGGGGACGTGTTGTGCATCTCCAAGGACAGCTGTACCAGACAGCCATTGTCTGTGTGGTTATTGCAAATGGACTGATGACTGGGTGACTGATAAAACTGTATAACCAGCAGAGCTTTCACAGTGTTTCTCATAAAATGTAATTTCTTGTATTGTTGTTGCTGCTGACCTCCTGTTTTTTCCTCCAGAGAAGAGTCTACCTTCTGAAATGTTGTGGCTTATTTTGCAGAAAGGGCTGTAATCAGACCAAAGTATATAATAAAATAAATACACTTTAGTGTAAACAAACATTAAAGCTTAACAGTTGCATATGAGACTTTGAAAATGGCAGATTGTTCTTATACATTTATTAAAGCTAGTGATGCGCAATATTATCGGCATGGTATCGATATCGGCTGATATTTGCGATAAAGTTAAATATCGGATATCGTCCATTCCATCAAAATAACTCCCCAATATAAAAGATGCAGGTTTTCGTATATATATATATATATAGATATATATCTATATATCTATATATATATATATCTATATGTAGTATGAACAGATACTGAGATATATTCATACATTAAACGGGTTCTTCATTTTTCTGACTGTGTAAACATCGTGCGTTGAATTTAACAGAAATGTAACGAGAGACGTTATTTATCTTTGACCCATCAAAATGAATGCGGTCATTTATTTACAGAATCAAAGATTAACATCAAACATTTACATTAATTTGGCAGAATATGAAAATAACACAATCAATCGGCTTTACAATCAGGAAAACCATACGGCCATGATTTTCCGTTGCTTCACCACAGACATTAATGAAAACATCTGGATTAATTTTCTAGCAGAAAGGAGAGTTTAAAGATGGAAAATGGAGATTTATCTTACAGAGAGATGTGTGAGGGAATTTATCTGTAGTACCAGAACAACACGCTCTTTGGAAAATCAGCTTGGCCAACAGTACGCTTGGTCGAAATAGAACTTTTACCTTGCAGATGATAGAATCAGCGTCGGTGTAGAGTTCTCCTTTTGACTCTTTTCAGCGTCTCCGTGAGGACAGCTAAGAACCCTTAGGAGTCGTGTGAGGTTATCCAAACAGAAGTTATAATTCCCAACATCGTCTCTGGATCAGCTTGATTCTAATAGAAGCATCCTGAATGCCTGCGTTTGCATCCAAGAACTCTGAACTCTACCCGTCTCGTCTCGTCTCCACTCAACTTAACTTTTTAGAACTGGGAAGTTGCCACATTTAAATGGGTTCGACTTCCGGTTCACTTGAGAGCCCTATGATTGGTGGATGGACCAGAACAGAGGTGTGGTCTGTGATGCAAGGTGCCATGGAAAGTCAAGGACAGAGATTAAGATTGTTTAAAACAGACAGAAAGATTGTTGGAGAAAACCAGTCTTAGTGGCGTCTCTACTCAGTATCTTGCTGTAAAAGTTAAACATGACATTTCTTTTCAGTAAACTTTTTAGTTGACCGAACCTCGAACTTTGACACACACTTACAAACTTGCTCATTGAAGACAGAAAATCAAGAAATGCATATTAACCTGATTTCTTCTTTGAATGAGGATAAAGAATCATTATTTACTGTTTCACAATTAATAAAATGAGTAGTTCTCTTCAACCTGTAAATATTGTTTGAACTAACACAATTTGATTATCAAAACATTTGTAAAATAGTAATGATCATAGAGAATTGTCATTTCTACTTGATTAATTCAAGAAAGAAAGTCTCAGGATGGGTCGAACCGTACCTCTGGATGCAGATCAATGAAATGACAGTTTCTGTCCCACAAGGTTCCCAAGGTCAAGGGTTTTGACCTTAGGCTTAGTTTTGACATTGGTTCACTACATATATATATATATATATATATAGCCCCCTTTTTGGCATCTGCATTTGATAGCAGGCCAAATTGACAAAGACCATGCAGAATAATGTTATATTTTAATTCTGCAGCAGAGAAAGCTGTGTAGTCTCTGTAAATAGGTCTAGGGGGGAAAATATCGGTATTGGTATCGGTTATTGGCCAAATAAGTTTTAACATATCTAGGCCTGTCACGATAACAAATTTTGCTGTGCGATTAATTGTCTCAGAGATTATTGCGATAAACAATAATGTTGTTTGAAATTTGACACTAATTAGTAATTAGTGTCAAATTTAAGAAGAAATGTTGATTTGTTTTGCATGTAGTACCTTTTTTGACCACTGGATGACAGTATAAGACTGTTTGAACTGAAGGATGGATAGTGAGGGAGTGAGCAGCGTGTTTCCTTAAGAAAAATGGGAGGGAGGCCCCTTGACGTGACATGGGCTGTTTCTCTTCGGTTCTCAAAATGGCGGACGCTCGGTGTGGTTTGAGCTCTTTAGCATTTTTCACACAAAGCTTTTAATAAAAAATCAGTAAACAAGTTCTCAGCTTCTTTTTGCAGAGAACTTTTTACACGAAGGCACGAGTTTCAACTGTGAATTTTGGAGCTTCAACAAGACATCGAGGTATTTTTTCCCCGAGGTTGGCCTGTTAGCTTAGCTCGTAGCTTAGCTTTTCAGCTTAGCTGCTTTCAACGATCCAAAAACATGATTTTTGGACGGTTAAAACGAATTTTAAAGAGAAAGGGAGGTGTCAGTGAAGAGCACCGGAGTTGAGCTTTTAATCATCCAGTGTCTTCAGAAAGAGAGAGACACAAAGAAACGATAAAGCCGATAAATGAAAATGAGGTAGATAATTTTCATTTATCGTGCGATTAATTGATTTATTGTTTATCGCAACAGGTCTAAACATATCGGCGTATCGGATATCGGCCGAAAATACAATATCGTGCATCCCTAATTAAAGCCACTTCTAAGATTACAAAATAGGAAATTAAATTATTTTCATCTCTACATCTCCTTCTTTAAAGACAAATTTATATTGATTTGTTTGCTTTTACATTCACATTTTACCAGAATTTTCAAAGCCTAACCAATAATCATTTACACCCGTTCAGGATTTTGTTGTCCTTAATTAAATTCATTCAGCTGCAGCATAATTACAGATGCACACAATGAATGACACCGTGCTCCTGTAATGAAGACATTTAGCACATTTTTTTTGTTAGGAAGGATATTAGTTTTAGTCTTTTATTCTGTTTTTTGTTTTTTTTCATCCTACAGGAGCACATCGCCTGGGGAGACCAAGCTGCTGGCCTCTGAGATCTACGAGATTTTGCAGTCAGCTGGTAAAGAAGAAGCGGAACAGGCCGAGGCGGCGGCCGCCTCCTGCCAGCGTAAAGCCCATTTCTTCCTGGGATCCAACAACAAGAGGGCTAAAACCGTAGTGCTGCACATTGACGGGCTGGACGACTCTGTAAGTGTTCATAAGGTGCATTCGGGACGTTGCACAACATATTGGCACAAATCTGTCTTGCTCAGACACACACTGTCTGTTGATGTGCAGAATCTCTCTTTAGATCAACGTGTTTGCTGCTGCCATAATCGCAGTGCTGCCAGAGCATCTTAGGGTTGTCTGTCTGGTATCTGAGAGGAAGGCAGAGGGTTCAGGTTGTAAATGTCAGCCATTGAACAGCAGGATGCAGAGATTGAACCTGAATGTTGCTCTGCAGGAAGCCTGCACCTAGCCAGATTATATTACAGCAGACAGCCAGCCTGTGGTGGGCTGCAGAGACACACAATCCAGCAGCTGGAAAATATAGAAACATAAACCGGATTTTTCTGAAGTTGCAGTTAAATGTTTTATATTTCACGTACCCTTTTAAAAGTATACAAAATGATACCGCTTGCTCGTGTCCTTCACCTGCTTCCTTCACGTTGTCAGACTCGGAGGAGCCTGTGTGAGGAGGCCTTGTTAAAGATCCGAGGCGTGATCAGTTTCACCTTCCAGATGGCCGTTAAGCGATGCGTTGTCAGGATCCGCTCCGACCTTAAAGCTGAGGTAATTGCTTGATTGTGGAAAACAACTTTTGCCCACTTTCACTTTATAATACAAAAAAATCAGAGCTTGCGGATAAATGAAATACTTACAGATTAATTAGTAAAATCTAAACCAATCTCTTCTAACAGGCATTGGGAACAGCAATTAACTCCACAAAAGTAATGACAGCTCAGCAGGTGGTGAAAACAGAGGATGGAGGCGAGGTAAGGACATTTGAACTTGCAGTGTTGACTTCAAAGTTCTGTAAAAAAACTTAATTTTCCATTAGAGAAAGTCAGATCGAGGTCGGGGAGGACAGCTCCTCTGCCTGTGGGTGAAACTTATCACTGACACAGTTAACTAGTCTCATCTATGCCTCAGACTTTTTACTTCGTCACTAGTTGCAGTACATTAAGTGACCAGTAGGGGTCAGAACAGGCTCAGTCATGTGGTGTAAGTTTAGTTGACAATATTTGGCTTTAAAGTTTAATTTAAAGAACAAATAAGTTTTTGACAAATTGCATATGTTTTTGTTCAGTAAAGTTTATTTATTCTCTGCTGTGTCTTTCCACCTCTTTTTATCCAGCTGATTGTACCATTCCAGGAGGACGCCGCGGTCCTGGTAGAGGAGAACACAGACATCCCAGACTACCTGCCCGAGGACGAGAGTCCATCCAACGAGCAGGACAAGGCGGTCACACGTGTAGGATCCATCACGGATGGCGTGGGCTGGCTCAGCACGGCTGCTAACTTCCTGTCGCGCTCTTTCTACTGGTGACAGCTTCCTGTGTTTTTCCGCTCCCTCGAGCGAACCATCCAGCTGCAGCCTTAGTGTATCTCAGCGTAGTCCAGGACTAAAGCCTGCATCACTAGTTTAGAATCCCCTCTCCGAAGCGCACAGAGCACGACCACGCGTGTGCAACTTGTGCAGGACTGCCCAGTGGAACATGCAAATACTGAGCTACAACTCTCACTACTGGCTATATGTGCACAGCTATAGACTAACTGCATATGTGTGTAAAAGCATAGCCAAAGGACTGTTTGTCAAACAGAAGCAAACAGCTTTCTGAAAATGAGTTGACTGAGATGATGTTTGCTTAGTACATTTAGCTGTTCTGAAGCATAGACAACTGGGAGCTTCATACTTTTTGTGCATGATTTTCGTTTTCTTGCATTTCTTCTCAATAATTGTCCTTTTACAACTTGATCTTTTAATTCCTGTTACTTTTGCAGTCATCGAGTTTTTTTGTGCCAATCATGCGTCCGTGATAATTTTTTGTGCCTTTCTTTTTTTTTTTTGTTGACTTTATTCGAATTATTTATTCATTGTCCGTTCAAGAGATTTGAAAGCTTCGAGCATGTTTCATCTTTTTCCTTTCAGGTTGTTAGCTCGCTGAGAAGAGGTCAATTTAATCGAAATACGAGGCCGCAGCTCACTCGGCCGTGAGTCCTGATCTGGAAGCGCAGCTCATAACGTCCTTAGTGTTTGTCAAAAAATCTGGGCTTTTATGATTATAATAATGGAGAGAAGAAAATCAGATGTTATATTCATGGTTAGCTCTTTGTGTTAACTGCATGGAGTTTAGTATACCTCTTTTAACGTCCATCTAACATCAGCGTTCAAACTACAGATGTGCACGGTGAAGTGCTGTTAGCTCGTCAGATGTTTCCCAGGCGCCTGAGATTAATTTGTAAATTTAACAGTATTGCTTTGATCCAAACATCAGGTTAGCCAGCTGTGACTTTAAAGCACAGATCAAGCTGGTGCACACTCACACACATGCACTTGTATGGATAGTAAAAGAGGTGTGTGTTTTGTAAATGGTGCCTCAGATCCTAAAATCGTCCTGGCATGAAGGAATTTCGCTTCCGTTTTAATTTTGGGTTCAAATTACGACGGGGTTCTTGGATTAATTATTCTTTTATTCGTTGAGACGTGGTTGAACTCAAACTGAGGATTTGCATAGAATAGTCTAAATGAAGGCGGCTGCCCTGAAAAAAGCAATAATCGATGCATTTAATGCATTCATCATAGGTCAACATGTACAAATCCTGTTTTTAAGCGAAAAAGGTATTTGCTAAAATGGATGCAGTATTACCCTCTTCATTTGCCCTCTTTGCAGTTAGTCTCTGTGTTGCAGGTTGTTTCTTTTCACTATTTGCTCTTTTCAGCTCATATTGTAAAGAAATACTTGACGATTGTTAAGTACACATTTATAATTATGCGTTGATCACAACTAATGGGAGAGAATCGCAAAGGCCTCAAAAATGTAACTTCTTGTGTTCAGCTGTCAGCGGGTGTAATATAATATGTGCAGATCCTAAAACTGTAGATTTCCACACATTGTTAATGCAAATAATGATAAACTTAAAAAAAAAATTTACATTGGCATTGTATATTTTGGGTTTTTAGTGATTCTATGTGAATTTTTCTTTTATCTTCATGATGCTTTTAGTATGAGGGGGGTCAAACATGGCGTCAGCAGAGCCGAAATTCATCTTTCTTTGGTGGTTAAATCGAGAGGCGCCTCAGGGCAATCCTGTGGCCTGCCCACCACCTCACCCCCCCCCCCCCCCAGTCGTGCTGGTTGGATGGTGAAGGAAGCAGCCAACCCCAGCTGGAAGCCCTCGAGCCACTGATGCTGCTGATGCAGCTGCTGAGCCTCGTTTATTTGATCTGAGAAGGCCTTCACTTCTGCCTCGTTCAGACGAGTTTTGACAAAAATCGGTTTGTTGCTGACAAACCTCTGGACGCTCCTGAGATTATTGTCTCAAAACTCTTGGTTAAATTGGAAAATCCATCAAGAATGTGAACCGTGCGGATAATTTCTTTATTTTAGTTTATTTAATAGTCTTACTCTAAAGTCCATTTAGTTTGGTGTTAATCATGACAGTGAGCTTCATATCATCCCTAAAGGAAACTTTGGCATTTTGAAATGAACCACGTCACACTGTCTTGTTCAGCTTGTTTTTCCATGAAACTATTTACTGTAGGTGTGTGGATGCCCAATTTCCCAGTGTAACAAAAAACTTGTTAAAGTAGCGTTCTATAGAAAAGTTATGACAATTTAATCTCACCTGTTGTAGGACGCTTTCTGAACTGGAGCCATTCCAGTGGGGGTAATCCAAATTCAAATTTGTTCCTTTGAATCGAAGGCGTTCAAAAAGCTATCTACAACAGGTAAGATACTGACTGTTCAAACCTCACAGAAATCCACTTCAGAGATCTAAACTAGCCCTTTAAGGAAGTTTCTAACACATCCCAGAGGGACAGAAAGTCTGACTAAAACTACAACGTTAAGCTCTAATCTATAATCTGACCACATCTAATAAAACTTGTTTATCATTAGTTGATCACTTACAGAAAAATCATAATTACCAGCTCACTTATTAACCTGTTCACCTCATTCAGACCTGACTGGACTGATGCAGCCATAAGGTTGATTTTAGTGATTAATATAATGCACATCTTTCTCACTTTCAGATGATTTTCTCCAAAGGTTGATGGTTTAATTAGTTAATTTTTGCCTCTACCCTCTAAAGACCAAAAAGCAGCACTCTGATCATTTTCAAATAAAAGCTTGATATAACGTCGCTCTCCTTCGGTTCTTGGAGAAGCGATGATGCAACCCTCGCCTCCCTCATCTGATAAAACCCAATCAAGCGCTCGTCTCCCCTATCAGCCCAATGGCACACAGTGCACGTGCATGGATGTGTGCTCAGTATCACCCTCCCACCTGTGCATATTTGCATGTTTAATCTGGGTGCAGAGAACAGGGCCTGATGGGGAGATAGGTGAGTCTCATGAGGGCCCCCAGGCACTTGAGGATTTTTATTGGAGGTTCAGCTCCCAGTCAATGGGATCAGCTGTAAATCCTGCTCAGAGCGTGGCAGGAAATGATGTGACTCCTGCAATTTATGTCAAATAACTTTTGAGGGTGTGTGAGTGTAGCGATCAGCGCTGCCGGGGTGGCGATAACTCTTCGACAAGGAGGGGGCCCCTGTGAAGATTTAATTGAGACATTTTTCTTTATCTTCAGCAAAGCGCCAGAGCCGTGTTGTTGTGTAACGAGATGTAATGTCTCTCTTTATACAGGGGTCAACATCCAGGATGAGGGAAGGTCACGGACTGACTGTTTGAGCATCCAATTTGCTCCTATAATACCTGCTCTACAGGGAGCTGGGTGAGGAGTATTAACTTACACCACATAAAAAGCTGCAGGCTCTGTGAGGATGTCATGTCTGTGGCTCCACGGAAAGTCTTTTTAAGAGTGTGAGGCAACAAGAATGAGGGCAAGTTAGAGGAGCTTAAACCCATTTATTATAAGAGATGTGATGCTCAAAAGCTTCACCGCTTTACGTTAACAAAAAGAACAGTTTAAATTAGTGACGCACCGAGTCTTCCTGGTTCTTTTATCTTTCCAAAACCAACACATTTTCTGTATAAACTAATCCAACCTGGCAACCCCCCCAGTAAAACCTTTAATAGTGTGAATGTTTATGAAGCATTCAAACTATTGTGATCCATTTTTCTTCTGTATGTTAATAGGCATCTTTCTTGTTCCACAGTTTTTGTGTTATTTAAACAAACCATAAATCAAAACATTCAGCTGTTTCAGGACAATCCTGCTATGACTTTTGGTTTTGGTGTAGCTTTTTGAAATATTTAGCCTTTTCTGCCATTTTTTTTTCTCATAAAAAATGAATTCAGCTCATTTTACCTCCTTCACATCTTTAGATCTGTTTTCAACCTTTTGTTACTCCTTTCACATGTTGTTCTGGTTCAGCTTCCTTCTGCAAATAAAAAACAATTAAAGCTACTTTCAGCTAATTTCAGCTGTTTTTTCAGCTGATTTGTGCTCCTTTCATATTCTTTCTGCTAACTACAACATTTTTGTACTTCTTCTAACTTCTTTCTGCTAATTTCAGCATGTTATGCTCCTTTCAGCTGATTTCTGCAAGTTTCAGCTTTTCTACTATTTCAGCTGTTTTAAGCTAATTTAAGCATTTTCATCTAATTCCACATTTTTGCACTCATTTCAACTTTTGTCAGCCTAATTCAGCAAAAATATGCTCTCTCCACTTCCTTCTGGTAATTTCAGCTTCTTTATGGTTTTTAGCTACTTTTCAGGTTTTTTTTTTAAATTAATTTTAGCTTTTTTTTAAAAAAAAGAAAATTTCCACTTTTTTGTGCTCATTTCTGCTTCCTTTAACCTAATTAGGCAAACTTCTTCTTTCTGTTTTTTTTTCTGCTAATTTCAGCTTGTTCTACCATTTCAGCTAGCTTTTTAGCATTTTAGCTAATTTCAGCTGTTTTCAGATAAATTCAAGTTTTGCGGGGTAATTTCTGCTAATTTCAGCTACTATTTAGTTTTTGTGTTAAAGTGAGCTTTTTCAGCTAATTCCACATATTTTATCTCATTTCAGCTTCTTCCACTTCTTTCTGGTAGTTTAAGCTTTATTTCCAGCTACTTTTCAGCTATTTTCTGCTTATTCAAATTTTTTTTTTCAGCTAATTTCCTAATTTCTGTGCTCATTTATTGTTATTTAATCCTAATTCAGCAAATATGTGTTTGTTCTGCTTTCTTTGGCTAATTTAGGCTTGTTCCTCCGTTTCAGCACTTTTTTTAGCTAATTTCAGCTGTTTTTCTGCAAGTTCCTCTAGACGATAATCATTCACAATGGATTTTCGCAGGAAATGCAATTTCTCAAGTTACTATTGTAGTATGACATATAGGGAAATATATTCATACTTTTCACGAGTTCCTCATCTTTCTGACTGTGTAAATGTCGTGCATTGAATTTTAACAGAAATGTAACGAGAGACGTTATTTATGTTTGACCCATCAAATGAATGCGGTCATTTATTTTCAGAATCAAAGTTTAACATCAAAC